CGGCACCGGAGCATGCGGGCGAAATCGACCCGTGGCGCACGGACAAACATTTATGTCTGGTCTGTGTTGTCAATTTTTTTCGTATTTTTTTCTGACTTTCCGCGTGTCGGTTTTGTGTGATGACGTCGTCACTGGTTTTGTAGAGAGACCCGTCAGAGATGGCGTGGCTAACCCGGGTGCATTGGTTTTGTGCCTGATCGTGGAAGACCCCTTCAATGTGGAACGATTCTTAGCTAGTGTCGCTAGTCGCTTTTTCACTGCAGTGCCTACACAGACGATCGGGAGAGATTCGGTTGATTGTCAATTTATTGCTGCTATGATGGCTTTGTTGGTTGGTTGTTCTTTTTCACTGTACGTCCGCAGACACATTCTGACAGCACTTCAGACAGCAGCTTTGTGCCCCGCCAGCTTCTTGTTCCATGCCTACCATGGTGTTTTTGTACAGACAGCACTTCAGACAGCAAGTATGCTGTAGTCGGCAATCATTCGTTTTGGTACAGAGTGGGACAGGTAGGGGGTGATGTTGCTGTAGTCGAACGGTGAGACGGACGTGTAGTTCAGTTTTGGGCACGCGTACGGTGCTGCAGGGATTATATATAGGTGTAGTAGTAGCTCTTCGGGCTCTTGTACACCTTTTTCTTGCTACGTGTGCGTGTTCTTTAGATCCTCAGATGGCTCTAGCACTTTCGTGACCACGGGCTGAGAGTCTTTGCTAGATTTTGGCATTTAGCAACTGACATACGGTTTAATGTGAAGACAACAATACAACGTGGTGCTATCACCCCCTTTGCCCTTTGTTCATCACTAGTTCCCCGGAACAGAACGTCTTCACAGACAGGTAGTAGCTGGCAGTGTTGTCCACTCGTACGTTTAGCAGTCCCTGTGCTCCAGCACTGATTATTATGCTTCAACGTGATCGGGCGCAAACAGAATGTCCTGCGAGCAGCTGCCTTCTCTCGGTGCGCATACCTCCTCTTTTTTACGCACGCAGACATCCTCTTTGGCACATAACAATTATCTGCAATATTATTACTTGGTCACAACACTTCTCCCTTCTTCCCCTCGCCCCTCGACAAGCTTTTGCTTAGACATGGGTTGTAGTGAAGGGGGGGGTCTTTCTGGCGAGCAGGGCTAGACTCACCCTCAAGGGATGACCGAAACCTTCTTGCTGCTGCGCAT